AGTGAGAAAAAAATTCATGCCACGCGATGGATTTGAACTTATTCTCTAATGAGCAAAGCCGCCAAGTAATCCACTGTGCCCTGTCCGATTTTAGTTCAATAATTTAATTTTGTCTTTATTGTTGTGCATGTGAACTACTAAAGTATGCTGTTGCTGAAAAGTATATTGTTTGTCTGCTATAACGGCTGAAGATTGAAATTACCACAGACATCTGAAGAAAATTAAAAGGACAATACATGAAAAGTGACAACAGAATCAAAGACGACGCACTATTAGTTAGATCCACAAAACTAAAACCCCAAATCCCAACGAATGTTAGAACCTTTTTTAAAGACAGTTTAATTGCATGCATTAAGTATTCTTAACATGGTTCATAAAGCTATTCAAACAACTTTGAATTTACCATTCAAACGACCTGTCGAAGAATTTTAAACTTATCGCTTCTATTCTAAAAGATCCACGATACTGTTCTTTCTATTAAGCACCATCAGTCAATTCCCACTGATAGACATATGAAAGAAGCAGAAAGCCCCCTTCCTATTGCCAGTGTTTTACTAGCAGTAATAAGCAATACATCATTCATTCTTATTACCATATTTATGAAACGATGACTGTCAATCAGGTTGCTCTATAGAAATCAGGGGGACAACGGGTCGAAGCTCACGGCTGTATCGTGACGAACAGCGTTCGACGTCCAAGATCTCATCGTGACGTGAGGCTGCTTCATTTTTCCTCAGGTTGTATGATACATTACCGTATTCTCGAAGACAAGGACACGTGTCGAGCAGGAGTTCAAAGAAATCTCTTCGCATTCCAAACCACCCTTAAACTGCCACATATCAGACAAGGGCGCCAATACAAGAAATAAACGAACACTGGTTTCCTCCTCCGGACGCAAACGATGTAAAAATCAGGCAGATTAATGAGATGTACAAGGGTAAGGAAGTCAACACGTATGGCAGAGAGCTGTCTCCATCCAACTTGTTCGACAGCAGTACCTAAAGTTTATAAGAACAAATAATAAATACAATTAGACAGTCATGTCCTGATCATTTGTAATACCGAACATGCAACAAGTAAGAGAGAATGGACGCTGTTTTTCTCAGACTTGACATAATGGCTGATCTCTTTTCATAGTGAGCAAAGAGTAGCTGAAAATGAATTACCGTCATCGTAAGTCTGCTTTGTCGATTACTAGAAAAATGATTAATCTAAATTTGATATTTCACTTAAATAGCACAGAATTTACGAGGCACCCGGCTACTTAAGCTGCTTTCGCTATAAATAGGGCCCAGGTGTTTCAAAAACAACATCTGAGCCAAAAACAAATCTCTATGCATTTAAATAAGTAGATAGGTTGTAATGAACCAAACACAAAACACTGTTTACTGACACTGTTTAATGCAATATAAATTGTTGTATCTGAAAAATACCAACGCAAACCATGCATCTGCTTGTAAATCCTCAGTCATGTTGCGTTCTTAAACTGATTTTATTTTGTTTAATGCACTCTATATCAGGGGTCTGATCAGCAGAACCAGGGTTCGCCATCGAAGGATAAAGTGCTTAAACTGTGACTGCGGCAGCTCACCCATTGATCTTCAAAGGTAAACAAAAGGATATCGTTGCCTGGGAAGGAAGCAGGAACTATACAGGACTATCAAGTTGCATTCAGAAATATGCTGTTCCTGGTTGATGGTACAATTAAGCAATTCAGCGCCTCACCTAAAGCTACATGACGAAAGGTTACAACCGATGGAAGCGTATGGTACACGGTAAGATGCCATATCTAGAGCGTCTTAAGAGTTTTGTTTGCTTGAAAAACCTCGAACATCAAAACATGCAGATATTACACTAGTAACAAATATAATAACAAGAAAAACGGAGAAAGACGGTTTCAGAAAAGCAGCGATAACAAGCATGCGGTTAAAAGCATAGATCTATCAGAAAACACAAGTAACCTCAATGGATTGCAGTAAATTTTCATTCTGCCTGTGAGTGAGAGACGGATTATCTTACCGCATTGAAACGTTATAGCTCAAAGATCAGACAAGACAAATAACAGATGTCTCCAGTGCTTACAGTACACATCTTAGCTAAGTCAAAAAAATAGTAACTATGATTAATGTGAGTCCAGGAAAAGTCTGTTACACTGACTGGCCTGTAAAGTTTTAAATTAAAGTTTACGAATTGTGAGAATGGCTAAAAATTAATAAAATCAAGACCCACAGTTGACGAGCCTCATGGTTATACGCAAAACTGATTACTCATAGGTAAGGTAATGATTTTGATTCTAATTTTAAATTCATGAACAATTTATGTTGTTCATAATTTTTGGACCTTATACTTCCTTGTTATGCATAAATTCTGAATTGGAGCATTCCGAAGAGTGCAAAGAAAACAAGAGCGTAAATTATGCGGAAAAAACGTTGTAAAGATCAGAATTATGTCTTTGGAACGACTACATGTGATTAACCCATAGAAAAATACGGTGGAATCCAAAGACAAAGCTGCGATGGAGTTTTTCTACATATGTTAATTGTTCATATGCTAATTGCCTCAAGTAATGAACTTCTCTGATTGTGATTCAATGCATCAACCGAAAAATGGGTAATAATTGCAAATTCTGTGAGCATTTGCGACACACCGATGTACTAAGATGTTTATGCTACAAATTATGATACTGTCGTTTACGCGGCTCCAATCTTGCACTTTACGGCTGTAACGCGTCCTGAACCAACTAATAGCTGACAATTCGTATGAGCACGTCTAAGCGACGTAAATTTAAAGAAAAACAGATTTACAGTGACAAACAAATACGGATCTTTCATTTATTTCCACTATCCCGTTCACAGTGAGGCAGCAACATCATAGGCTTTCAATGAACCCGAGTCTCTACAAACATGATCAGCAATGCTATCTTCATCTTAACGTACGACACTGCCAGGCGTTTAAAATATCGAGTCTACTAATACTAAGCCGATGTGACCCCTCTCAATCTACCATGTAGCTTTACGAGGACAGGTCGTTTTTTAACACTGTTCATTGCCATTATGATGAACTACGTAAGATTATTATTTCTCACTCTGGAAAAGTGGTGGTTCCGAAGCAAAGAAATCTGGGACTGTCGTGCTATAAACCTTGTCAAGTTTTATCACACTACAAACACTTCGAATGAATAAAATTTCTACCGCTTGCTTCCCGTTCATATTGCTTTA